TTTTTAAATATTAAAAGTGTTCCATAGATATAAGATTGAACTAAGATGTCTAAGTGAAGTATGCAGACAATTTATTTACAATTTAGAAAATAAATCGATAAATAAGAAATTTTATCATATTGTTACTTGAAAATGTTTTTGTGTTTAGATTATGTTACCCTCCTACTTTTGACTGAGTTATACTCCCTCCGTCCCATTTTTATGTGAGGTAGTTTGACTCGGCACAGAGTTTAAGAAAGAAAGGAAGACTTTTAAAACGTGTGGTCCAAAATGAATGATAGAAATTTGTGTGGCTGTAAATCATTTCATTAAGGTTAAAATAGACATTTTATAGCTAAATTGTTACTTATTATAGAAATGTATCATTCTTTTTTAGACTGACTAAAAAGGAAAGTAAGTCACATAAATTGAGAGAGAGAGTATTAGTCTTGTCAGGTAATGGTGTGAACAAGGCTAGACCGCGAATCAATCTGGCCCATTGAAGTGTGGCCCTACTAGGTTGCGGTCGAGTTAGTACTTTAATGAGTAGGGCCATAGTTTAGTAGATTGGATTGAGGGGCGGGTTGGGTGGGAGGAATGGGTGTTCGGCCCAACCCTCAACCCATTAAGAAAAGGCAAAATTATTTGTGTGAGTATTTTTTAGTAAATAATTATTGATTGTAATGATATTTTTTATTTATTATATTTTATAGCAATATAATGATAAATCTGCACTATGTATCAAAAGTAAATTATGTTTATTTGGTAAGAAATTGACACAATATGTTATAAGTGTATCAAAGTGTGTGATAAATGTATTATCCATTAATAAAAATTGTATTATAGTGTAATGTGTATTATAAATTATTCTCTGTAATATATATTAAAATTGTATTATAAGGATCTGTTTGGCGACAAATATATTTGGGAAAACTTGGAAAAAATTGGGAACTAGTGTTGACCATATAATTTGTTATTACTTGGCAAATATATTTGACAAATATCCCAAATTCTAAAAAAACTAAAATTTCGGACAAATTCTAGTATTTGAAATTTTTTTAAAATTACTCCAAACTTTTATATTTTATAAAAAATCCTCAATATCATTTATAGTTTGGACTGGATTTCAGTCCTAGTTTTTTATACAAAATTTATACCATTATATACATATTTAATACACTTTTTATCCAAGTTTGCTCTTTAAAGTCGTTTCTAATTCCATGTAGTAATATAGTTTTTTTGTATACAAATCACTGATATTTTCCTTTTATTTTCTTCCTTTTTAAAAAAAAAAAAATTCATATTAATTATGCTTGTTGTCATGGTTTTCACGTAATGTTTTCATTATAAAATGATAATACGAACTTGTGGGTATTTTAAATCATTTTTAGAACTTATGAGCATACATCATATTTTTTTTAAAATCAAATATTTCTCCTAAAATCTTTGGTCAAACATATGGTTAAACTTCAGCAAAAATGACTTGCCAAAAATATTTAGAAATATGTGGTCAAATGCTAGCTAAATGTATTATAAGTGTAAGGGGAAAAGAAAATATCATTGCTATAAATGGTAGATATTTTGTCTTAACATAACATATATATATAGGGGGTGTAAAAAATGAACCCAAACATAGGTAACCCGTCCAGAATTTTAAGGGTTGGGCTCAAGATAATTTGAATTGGGTTCAAACTCAACTCATTCAAGCCTAACTCATTTTAAGAGAATCCCCAATTGAGCTTAATTCAATCTCTAATTTCAATCTGTTTTAAAACTATTTATTAAGATATGTTCCTATATTGAAGGTATGAATTATTATCTATTTAATATATTTTAGGATTTATCTATCCATTTGTTACTTTTTATATAAAAAAATCTTGAGTTGAAATTCAAATTATGATTATAAAAGTGAAATATCACTATGTTAGAATTATTGAGATTAAACGGGTCAAATTGGACGGGTCAAGACCCAACTTGTTTTTTTAGCCCATTTGAGCTCAAGGTAAACTTGGGCGGATCAAGACTCAACCTGATTTCTATTTTAACCCATTTTTAATAGCTCCAATTTCAACTCAATCCGCCCATTTGACATCCCTATATATATATATATATATATATATATATATATATATATATAAATTTTCCTCAAGAACTAGGTTAGCCGGCCTCCTTCTTCTTTTTTTGTGGTGGGGTGTGTGTGTAGGGGGGGGGGGATTACTAAAGTTGACATAACTTGCGAAAAAGCATTTCAATATTGAAGTTTATCATTTCACATTAAAATATATATTCAATTTTCATACGAATTTGGGGAAGGAATAAAGATAGGAGTAGTATTTTTTGTGTGAAAATTGTTGTCCTAACAATACATTCTCTCTAGGAACAAATCCATCCTTGAGAATATGGCCATGGCATCCCACTCCGTCACAAATTCCCTACCCCTGTTAACGCCGGAGCCACCGGATGAAAGGACAAGAATGGAAGAAGATGCACCCATCAGTGATCAGACAGTCTTTTAGTGAAATCCTAATGGATAAACAAGCGAGAAATAACAGAGCTGAAGAAGAAGTATAGTTATTGTCAAATTGATGGAAAATAAATGACTCTATGGAAACATTTTGTTATCATCAAATTGATAGGATAAAAAATAATAATACATCAATACCTCAAAAACAAACTAATAGAACAATGGAAGCGGGACTTACCCTAATTAATTGAATAGGATTGGGGCTTTTATATAGCAAAATTCATGCAACAGAAAATTATGCAAAGAAAAATTATTCATTTTGTTTATAATTCTCCACCGGCCAAACAAAAAAAGTGTCTTGAACAAATTTTACTTGTTGATTAAAGCTTATTTTGATTGAGCCCAATAACATAAAATTCTAAATATGCTACTATACCTCCTAGAGTTGTCAAAAAGGGTCGGCCAAGCATCGCGGGTCAAGGAATTTGAAGGGCTAGGGCAGGCCGCCTCTTTATTTGGAAAGGCCTGAAAATGCTCAACCCAACCCAACCCTAGAAGGGCCGAGGGTTGGGGCATGCTAGCCCTTCTGTTTTTCATTTTTTTTCTTTTCAAACTTATAATTCTATAACATCAAGAAAATGAGAAGGTTTTCAAATCAAATATGACAACATTGGTGTTGTTTCAATAACACTAGCAAAAAATCTAGTATAATTAGCATGTATCTCGCATACCAGATATGCGAGCGAGATAAGAGAGTGACAAGAAAGATATGAGGGAGGCGAGGACACGAGATTTGTCTATGTATCTTAGATACATGCGAATCTACTTGGATAGAGTGTATCTAGAACAAATTAACCTAATTTTGAGTCCATATATTCCGAGATATATGATTCTGGACGTACCAAAATCCGATAAGATTCATAATATTACAACATAGCGTGTATTTAAGTAATTAAATGATATACTAGTGAGATTATTGTAATTTATCCTTAAATCAAAAGTTTTGGCTCATGAATCGACCCCGACCCGGCCCCGATCAAGCTTCAAGGGCCAAGGGCTTATATAGGCCGAGCTATAAGCCCTAGTTTTAAATGGACTTGAAAATTATATCCCAACCCTACTCTAATAATGAATTGGATTAGGCTGGCCTCATGGGCTAAGCCCATTTTGACAGCTATAATACCTACTAAGAATAGAACATTAATGAAATTATGAGATACACAATATATATCATTTGGTCAGAATGAGAAATTAAGGAACATTAAAATTATAGAATTTAAACAACCTTCTCTCAAGAGAGAAAATATTCTTATGATTTTTTTCTCCTAAAGGAATGAAATGTATTTTATTGTCCTTGTGGCATGGCATGCACCCTCAGGCCTTAGCCCCTTTGGAAAGTTTATGGACTGTCAAACACAAATTACAAACAAAATATGCTTATTTTAAAAAAGTATTTTCTTTTTGTCTTAAGTGACTTTTAGAAAATAACAGTTTTTGTTTGATTAATCAATTTAAAAATAACTTTTTTGGTATTATAGTAGTAATGTTCCAAAAGTGCTTCAAGGGAAAAAACTTTTTTTAACTTCTCGAAAACAATTTTTGCTCTATTTTTTTTTTATGACAAGGAAAATTCGCATCCGCTATCCTTTTGGGTGTGCACAGGGTAAAACCCCTGCTCCCATGCAATAGCTCGCAAATCACATAGGAGAGGTAACCCGCACTAGACAAGCTCGGTGCGACGAGCTCGATCTAGAAGGCAAATCCCTTGTTTTCGCTGGCAAGGGGTTTCAAAGACCTATCTGAATTTATAGAATTAACGCAGAATCTCGTCTAACAACCACAATATGCACCACTTAGAATTTTCTTTTAAGCAAAACAAAAGGGTTTCGAACTTGAAACCTCCAATATGAAAGTCCCAAGCCCAAACTTAAGAATACATATTAATTTTTTCTTCTTAAAATCTAATCAAACATCTCTAACTTTCTAAAATAAACACTTTTTGAAAAGAAAAAAAATACACTTTTATCTTCCAAAAAGTTTGACCAAACAACTCAACTTGTTAATATATACTTTTGACTTTCTAAGATTTCATTGAATATCTCAATTTTAAGAAATAAGCACTTTTTGAAACAAATAAACAGTATTAACTTTGCAGAAGCTTAGTCAAATAAGAATAGTCGAATACAAACTTCTATTCTAAAAAAATAAAAAATAAAAAATTAGAAAACATTTTAGGAAAATATACTTTCCAAAATAAGATGATTGATTTTAGACAATAATTTGAAACAGAAATTTCTTTTTGTAAAAAATTATTATAAAAAATCACTTTTTTTGTGGTAATAACTGTGAATATTATTATTGACAACCGAAATGTTTACAACTCAAAAAAAAAAAAAAAAGCACCCTAGTATTACAATCTTTTAATTTATAAATCCAAGGAAAAGAAAAAAGAAAAAAGAAGAAAAGTTTTCGAAGTCACGTGAGATTCATGTGTAAGTAAAAGGGCAAAGTTGGAAAACAAATTGAAAATGCCAAAAAAGGGCTCAACGGCGTCGTATCGTCCCTGTTTTCAGCGATCAAACCAGTGCTGGAGTTTTCAACGACAAAGTAAAGAGGGAGAGAGGGTTTAAGGGGCAAAACCGATTTGATTGCAAATTTTCAAATTCCTTGATTTTGATCTATTCTGTTGTTCCAGATTCTCGATCGTTGCTTGAAATTCGAATAGAGTTGAGTTGATTATTAAGGAGGAGGATGGTGCTGGTTTTAGCCTTGGGAGATCTTCACATCCCGCATAGGGCTGCTGATCTTCCTGCAAAGTTTAAGTCTATGCTTGTTCCTGGAAAGATCCAACATGTAATCTGTACTGGTAACCTATGCATTAAAGTGAGTGTTCGTTTTTTCTTGCTTTATATTAATCGAAATTTGTATTAGTTTGTCGGATTAGATCGTTTAAGCTAATCGGTAGTATAAATTAGAGATTTATGCTAATTTGATGGGTTATTGCTTGTTTGCCAATCTGCTAATTAAACTTTGATGGAGAGATTGAGCGACTTCTTTGCTAGATTAGTTATATTCCATAGAGTGAGATTTTCCTTTGGAAGAAGATAAAACCGTAGGATGAATTTTCTCTGGTTGCATTTTTAGCATTTTCTGGACTGTAGTCTCCGTTGAAAATTGACAGACATTGGAGAGGATTTTTGACAGTTAAATTTGCTTCAGATTTATAAAACTAAGTGCAACAGTTGTTTAATGTGCGGCATTCTTTTCCAATATTATTGCAAGCATTAGGATAAGTTTGTCTAGAGAAGATAGGTTTCTTCCCGTAGAAGAAGTAGTTTGATTTCTTTCCTGCCAAGAATTCAGATTGAGTAATAAATGGGTCTAAAATTACCTCTCCTATGTGGTTTACGAGCTATTGCTTAGGAGCGGGGGTTTTACCCTGTGCGCACCCAAAGGGTAGCGGCTGCGGGTTTCCCTTGTCATAAAATAAAAATAAAAATAAATGGGTCTAAATAACAGAAATTTGGAAGCTATGAAAGGGAATGTTAGATAGGTTATTTCAGCCGGAGATGGATGTGTCTTCAGTGACTCTCTCGGAAGAAAGCATATAAGGGTGTTGTGAATGTCTTTAGATATTCAAGCGAGCAGAGAAGAACATATAATGTTCTTTATATTTCGCCCAAGGCAATGAGTTCAGGTTTCTTTTTCTGAGGAAATGAAAGAATTCATGGTGGTAACTATCAACAAATTTGAAGAATTAATTGCTGGATAGGAAGTTTCTCTCACTTATATGCCACCAACTATAACATAAGTGGAAAGATGTCATGTCTTATTACCTATTCATGTTTATTATTTGGTTATTTACTTTTATAAGTTACCTGCTGATGCATCCTATTGCCTGTATGTAAAATCTTTTTACGTGAGGTGTTATTTGTAGGTAGTTGTTTAAACTCACTTTCCCATGTCACGGTTGGATATAAATATAACTGGAATTTTTAAACTGAATAACCTCTAGAAGTAATTCTTTTACATTATACTTGGTTTGACTGGGTTTTTCTCCTTCATAAATTCTATTTCCAATAGTTTGACATTAGTTATTTCGTGCCTATACTTCCCAGTTGTTGCTTATTAATTTTAAAACTAGCATTATTTTATTCTCTCCCAAACCTTATAATTCCTTTTTGATTAGGCTATTCAAATTTCAAAATCAAGAAATACAAAAGAACTGTTCTGCAAGTCATTTTTTATTTTCTTTGCCCTCTCTTCTACATAACCTCAACTTTTAAGGTTAAACTTGGTAGTTGCTTATACATGAGGGCAAAACTATTTTACGTGGTTTGTGCTTTTGTCTAAGATATTCTCCTATTAGAAGCTGTAATTGAATAATAGAAGTGACATTATCTGTCCTGATGCTGTCAAAGGCTTTAATGAAAAGCGCATAATAGTGCCAGGGCACATTGGATTTTTGAGTGCTTAGCGCAACCAAGGGTAGCGTTTTGATGAAGAAAACTACTTAAAAGAAAAATTACATATGACATATACTTTAGGTGGAGGAATTGAAATAACTGCAATTAAGTGAATTATATGAAAATCACATTTAAAAGACCATCTTAAATTTCAGAATTAGTTGCAAAGATGCAACTTTAAATTTCTAATTGTGATCTGGTCACTTTTCTTATTCTACAAATTTCTTCTTTCCTATTCCTAATCACTAGCATTTTCATCTTTTATTTGCTCAAGAGTTGACATCGAGTTTGCCATATCTGTTTTTGAGTGTTGCCTTTTTTAAGACAAAGCTCATGGATTATTCCTCGTTTATTTATTCAAAATATGTTTTTCGAACATTTTAAAAGACAGTTGCTGGGCTAGTTCTTCCTAAGATCCATGCCTTGAAGCCTTGGTGTCTCCACTGAAGTGCTGTCTAAACGAGGTGAAGCGCACTGTCTGCAGCGTGCCTGACTTCATTGTCTAAGCATGCTTGAAGCCACGCCTTTGACAACAATGTTCTATCCTGTGCACCTGGAGAGAAAATTGGAGATGCAAATTGTCAGTTCTGTGTTATGAGATCAGTTTATGATTGTTTCTACTTTCTTGTAATCTAAAGTAGAAATCCTGAATAGTCATCTAATGCTTATAGTTGGAGTAATTTAGCCATTTGACAGACATCTTTTCAGTAAACCATGTTAATTGTAGAATGAAGACCTTGCTCCTTGGTATAGTTAGGAAATTCAAGTGCATTTACTCCATCAGTACTGTTTTGTCTGTAGGCTACTTCCACAATGTGCTCTGATTACACATTGTTCTTCTAAGTTGTATTGAGAAACTTCTAGGAATAACCATTCCTATAGTTTGTGTGATATCTTTTGCCTTAACAAATTCGATTTGTCTTTTACTCCCATTAGATAATTCATTGGGTGTGGACATTCATATTCTAGGTCTTTTAGCTTTCATGTAAGATGTAAATTCGTTATGAAAATGTATTGACTACCTCATCCAAATTACATTTGCAGGAGGTTCATGATTACTTAAAGACTCTTTGTCCTGACTTGCATATTACTAGAGGTGAGTATGACGAGGATACACGTTACCCTGAGACTAAGACTCTAACGATTGGTCAATTTAAGCTTGGATTATGCCATGGCCACCAGGTCTGATTCACCATCTTTTTGTTACTCTTGCTGTCCTGCTTTAAGCTGCTGAGGTAATTTGGGTTATTCAGGTTATCTGAATTCTTGTCAGGGCGAAAACTAACATCTAAGTACTCTTCACTTAGTTGAATGGTATGTAGCAGATACATATGTATTAACATGCACACTGCCCTATCTCTGTGCATGTTTATGCCTCTCTTGGCTGCAGGTTCTATGTTTGCCTTGTCCTATATCAGTGCTCACACCAAATTTACCTATTCGTCTTGCTAAGGAACTATTGTTGGTTGTCATAAAAAAAGGAACTATTGTTGGTATGTTATTGTAAATTGACTTAATTTACTTGCAATAACATTCTTGCTAAGCACGAGATTGAAGTATTGTTGCATATTTGCTAGATCTGAATGCATTTATCTATACTGCTGAAGAAGCCCTTCTGTATTTATTGTTGGTTTTCCTCGAGGTGTAGTGCCATGTCTGTCCAATTCCAATATTTCTGCTTCTAACTTACAAGAATATTAGGGCAAAATTTGTACTCTATTGTGGTCTCTGTCACTCGACTTCCCCCACTTTTTGACCCACTATATCTCCTACTATTGTTTGTCTTTAATCTTTTTGCATACAATTTTTCAGAAATAGTCTTCCACTTACTCCTCTAAACTTAAGTATTTATTTAAGAACTATTTGAGAAATATGCTTACTTCACAAGCATGTCACCCTTTCTAGTAGTAATGGTATCTTCCATTTGTTTTTTTGTCCTCCAGGTTATTCCATGGGGTGACTTGGACTCATTAGCTATGCTTCAAAGGCAATTGGATGTAGACATACTTGTGACTGGACACACCCATCAGTTCACAGCTTACAAACATGAAGCAGGGGTTGTTATAAATCCAGGATCTGCTACTGGTGCCTACAGTAGCATCACATATGATGTCAACCCTAGCTTTGTTCTCATGGACATTGATGCCCTGCGTGTTGTGGTCTATGTTTATGAACTCATTGATGGAGAAGTCAAAGTTGACAAGATTGATTTCAAGAAGACAACAACACAGAGTGCTAATTGAATAAGAGAACTTGTAATTCAGCTGATTTTACTGGAATCCCAAGAGTCGATAAGACATTATATTCCTTTGTTTTGCTTGTTTCTAAGGCTTTTTCTACTAACTTTTGTTCTTTATTTTCCTGTTGCTTCTGATAATTGAGGTTTATGTTCAGTTACTTTAGCAAGTATGCATTGAAAATTCAGTTGGTTGATTGGAATGAATCTTCTGTAAGGAAAAAAAAAACTTGGAAAGAGTCCGTTGATTATTGTGCTCCTAAAATTGCCTTTTCTTTAAAGTTATCTATTGTGCGTTGATAGACTGATTGTGGCTTTTGCAACAATAGCCAAGTAGAAAATATGTGTGTTAAAATCTCTTCTGATGTAAGCATGAATAAATTTGTCTATCTTGTATTCGAATTCAGGTGGGGAAGTTCACTAAAGGGGCATAAAGCATTCCTTACTGAAAGGTTCTCTATATATCGACCCCGGACTCTAAATTTCTCGTTAGAAGTGAAGGGATTTATTATAATTTTACCACATCCCTTGGTGGTTGTGTTGAAATAAGTAGCTGCAATATTATGCCTTGAAGAGGCTCCGTTCTCTGCATATGTTGAGTATGAATCTCAATTTTATGAACGAAATTTATGTTAAATTTGCTTAAAAGGATTCAGAATGGTGTATCATTAACATCAGCAACATTCCGTCAAAGGTGGGAATAAAGTACATTTAATAAGAACATAAATAACCAGTGAAATATAAAATCAAAGTGATAACTAAGAGCGACCTTTTATTGTTATGAAAATATCTTAAAGTTTTTATGAGGCAGTGAACCTATAAACCATAATGTGCTTATAAGTTTCCCCTGGATTCACAATTTGGGAAGGAAAATTGGGATGATTAACAGAATCTGGGAAGCCTTGTGTCTCCAAACAAAGTGCAGCATACTTTGAGTAAACAAATCCACCTTTTCCCTTAACATTATCCAACATATTACTTGTATAAAACTGCACACCAGGTTTATTAGTCCACAATTCCATCTTTCTACCTGATTTGCTTTCTTGGACAATAGCAACCCTCTGTAAATGCTTGCCCTCGGTATTATCCAACACATAGTTGATATCATATCCACCCGGAATTTCACTTAGCTTGCTCCCTATTGTCCGTGGCTGGAGGAAATCGAAGCCTGATCCCTTAACCGGTGTAATTTCTCCGTTGGGGATGAGCTTATCATTAACAGGAGTAATCTTGGACCCGAAAATCTGAATAGTTTGGGACAAAATGTCGCCACTGTTGTGTCCACCAAGATTCCAGTAACTATGAGAAGCTAAATTCACTGGTGTGGCTTTGTTGTGTGGCTTTGCTTGCATGATTAAGGCTAATTTGTTTGTCTCAATGAACATGTATGTCACCTCGACAGAAAGGTTACCTGGAAATCCTGTTTCACAACATTTGATAGTCAAAATTTGTCAAGCCAGAAAATAAATAGTACTGTAGTAAAAAGGATTCGATTGGAGCAATTGATGTTTCTCACATCCAGCTATAACAATGAGAAGCTTTTGAACTTTTAAATGGCAAAAGAAAAACATAAGCAGTTTCCAGGGCATCCGTTATCGTTCAATGTTGGGTAGATCTGCCCCTCATCATTTGATCCTTTATCTACCGTACAATCTATTGATTTAGTTTCTTTTCATCTGACCTATTACACGCCAGGATCAATCTACTACTACTACAACAACAACATACACAATGTAGTCTCGTAAGATGGGGTCGAGTGTATACAAACGTTACCCCTACCTCACAGATGTAAAGAGACTAGAGACTGTTTACGAAAGACTTCCAACTTAGGTAACACACATATCAAAGAACCTACCGAAGAAAAGAGATATAACAAGTACTAGAGGAAACATCACAAAGCATACAGGAAAACGAAAAAGTAACAACAACAAAGTAAAATAATTGTCATTTTGGTTCATCTCCTGCAAAAATTGCATGATGTGTACCTTGTTCACCATCAAAGCTATTGTAGGTAAGAGTAAGATGACTATCTTCTTCAAAATCTTCCACAGTCCATATTACACTAGAGAATCCTTTGCTACCCCCTGATTTAACACGATTTTCGACATGTTAATCAAGTGTTAAAAATGATTAAAATGGAAAGATTTAACTAACAACAAAAAGGATGAATAATTATAAATACCATGGAGTGTGTTTCCATGATCATTAGCTGGTAATTTATATTCCACACCATTCAACTCAAATTTTGCTCCTCCAATTCGATTAGCGACTCTTCCAATTAGGCCACCAAAATATGTTGTGTCGTTCTACAAATACTTAATAACTTCATTTAAGAATCAAACACACAAAAACACAACACGGAAATATTTAAAGTTTTGTGAGTGAAAGCCCAAAAAACACAACTCGAAAATATTTGAACATCGAATTTTCAAAAACTATGACCAAACACTAGCAAATAACACATGTATTATACATATATATGACCAAACACTAGCAAATAACACATGTATTATACATATATATCTGCATTTTTTGGGAACAGCTATTTAAGTTAATTTACAAAAAGGGTAATGGCAGATCCAGAAAGTAAAATATAGGGTTCACAATTCAAATCCTATATATTTACTAAAAAAGTTCACTAAATATTTGATTGTGAAGCCATTGTATATTAACTCAACGTCTCCTCTCATAATAACTCATAAACTTCAAATCTTAGATCCGCAGATGACAGAGAAACTAACCTTATAGTCATCAATGGAGTCGTAGCCAAGAACAACATCATCCAATTTTCCTTGAAAGGAGTAAAAGTGTGAGTGTTAATTATAAGATATGAAATTGACAGTGCATAAAAATGTAAGAAATTAATAATTTTCTGCCATTACCATTTTTATCAGGAAGTATAACAGAAAGAACTGTAGCACCATAATTTGTGATCTTTACAGAAAAATCACCCTTCTTCAAGTCATAAACTTTAATTTCTTCAGTTGCTCTACATGAATTTTTACAAAGAAAAAGAGTGAAAAAAGCAAAAAAGTAGAAAAAAGAGTTTTTGGCCATTACTGAAAGGGGATAAATTGTTGATGACTTTACTTTAACGTGAGTTTTTTTATATATATATAGATAAGTGAAATTTTGGAGTTTGTTAAAAACTTAAAATGACAAAATAGTAGATAATAAAAAAAAAACATTTTTTTTTTTTTTGGTAAATTGAGATGGAGATGCTGATAAGGAAAGATTTGGAATAGTGTGATAAGGACAAATATTCAAAACTGAGAATGTAAAGACGTATTAGAATTTTAGAGCAAATCGTCATGCCATATTCTCCATATATTCACAATTAATAAATGTAATTTGTTAGCTAAAGGTAGCCTAAAATATGGATCCCACTCCTCTTCATTTTTCTATTTTATCTCTATTTTTATCAAAAAAAATTATTTATATGTATGAGCCTTATATTATTGAAATATTAATGACATAGATTTTTAAGTAATCTAAGTCTTAATTACGGTTAAGAAGGAGATATATTATCATTTAAGTTTATCCAATTTTAGATAAATATAAAAACTATCTTAATCACATTACAACGAAAACAACCATTAGCGGCAATAAATATAGATAAAGTCTTTATCAACATTAGTTAAATGTTATTGGATCAAGTGTCGTTATAGGCTAAGAGACATTTACAAAGAGTGTTAAATGCCGCTAAAAATACATTTTTAATGACAATTAAGCTATTACCGCTAAAGATCATTTTTGATTTAGTGTCATTGTTGTTATTCACACACACAAAAATTGCTTCTTCATAGACTATTTTTTTTGCCAATTAAAAATCAACACCTAAATAAATTGTTTTACAACAAAAAAATTGCTTCTTCATAGACTATATTTTTTTTGCCAATTAAAAATCAACATCTAAATAAATTGTTTTACAACAAAAAAAAAAACAATTTAAATCATATAGTTGAGTTTAGATATTAAACAAAAAGCATCGAAGATTACTTTTTTGTAAAATATCAAAGAAATATAAACTGATATTTTTGTTGGACTTTTTCAAAAAATAGATAGAATCTTTTTTAAAACAAAAATATTTAGGGATCTTGATTGTGATACAGTGTTATAATAAAACTATGGAAAAACTCACTTCATATCAAAAGTTTAATGCTATTTAGAGTTTGTTTGGCATTACAGCTAAAAACAATTTATTTTCAGAAACATTTTTTTAAAATAACTTTTCAGAAAAAGTATTTTTGAAAAAAAAATTGTATTTGGCTATTTCATTTGATAAGTGCTTTTTAAAAAGAAAATTGTGTGTGACTAATCTTTTTTAAAAAGTGCTTATGAGAGTCAAATTATGATAAATGACAAGTATTAATGTATTTTTAATATTAAAATTATTTTATAGAGAGAAACTAGTTTAAACATCTATTACAAAAAAATAAATTAAATTTTTATTTTTATTAAATTAAATTTTCATATTCAAATTTTCAATCAATATTTTTTGGAGGGTTAAAATCTTTAATTGTTGTTTTTTTTTCTGTTTTCTAATCTTGCAAAAATATTGTTGTTACTTTTTTTTTCTTTCTAATTCTACAAAATAATATGTAAAATAATAATACACAAACGTAAAATAAAATATATAATTTATTTTATAAAAATAAAAAATAAAATTATTAAATGAAACTTACCCAAACTACCAAACATATGAGACATGTTAATTAATTAATACTCCCTCCATTTTAAACTAATTAAATTGTTAAGACATTTTTCGTTTTTCGAATTAACTTAATTGTTCAATCTTCAAGACTACTTTTAGAATGTTCTTCCAATTTTACCTTTCATTAGTTAGTATTTGAATAAGTTATTATAATTAATGTTAGTAATTTTAAAATTTAATCATAAATTTGGCAATAATTAATAAGGGTAAAAATGAAAAGATATGCCTAATTTATGTGTTGATCTTCTTTTCTCAAAGAATGTAAAACACATCAACAATTTAATTAATTTGAAATGAAGGAAGTAAGAGTCTCAGAGATATATTCCTAACAAGTAACAACAATGTCAAAAAGACAGTCAATTACATTCGTTTTTTCCAAAATTTTAGGAGATCGATATTTTCTTATTAAAATCAGGAAATTTAAATAGTCATATCTCTTATTTAATCATGATTAGTAGTAATATACTTTTTTAATTAAGAAATTTTATTTATTTAAACCTTTGATATGTAGGTA